CCTCCTGATTCCACGAGTTGCGCTGTGATGCCATCATAGCCAGGAGTCCTTGCCGGCTTTGCCAACTGTTGCGCATCGCACTGTTTCTGGCAACATATCTATATCTTCAGGTTCCTTATCGTCACAAACTGTGTTAAGTCTTCAACTCTGTACAGTTATCAATAGAAATCTTCCACTCTTTGGAATCTCTTGTCTGTCCATGATGAAAGTTTCTGCGACTTCTTTGAGAGCTGAAATTCTTCGTTTCACGAATGATGCCGATTATTCAGTTTGCTCATCACACTGTCAAAAAACGCTGTTAACACTGTCTGAGAAACTAAATTCCTCACGTTAAAATCAAGCGGATCTTTGACCCAATTTTGCGTTTCAGTTATATGGTAGCGCCCCAGCTTCACTGATAACAACACAAGATGTTTATTTGTTGCACATACGGTTTTTCATTGCCAGTATATGCAAGGACTCCTTTACCAGATTGGATAAATAGTTTAGATTGGTCCTTGTGTATAACAGACACAATTGTCTGTCAGAAAGAGAGCCCTTCAGTCCAAGTCGGACCGCAGCAAGGTGCTCTTTTATACGGATATTCAATTTCCGGTTGCTACACCTTGTCGTAGTCTCTGCAGTGAACTTTGTAGACAACATTTAACACATCTTCCGGGTTATTAATGGGCATGTACTTTCTAATAAAATACAATTTCGCCCAGTGTTCTGCGAATCTTGCAGTAGACCCTAAACCGCATGTTATTATTAAGGTACCTCGTGATACGTTGAGATACCTGGGGTATGAACCGTAAAATTACCACTGGCCAACTTTAAATCTGAGCTGGGGTGCAAATGTTCTTCTTCAAGGATCCTCCTTCGGTAACCGGACGTGCAAAGATTGCACATCTTCGGTTGTCATCAGTGAAATCTGGGGCACAATCACAGAATTTATACGCAAAATAGGGTCAAAATTACAAAGATCCGATTTATTTTGATGTGACATCATATTTTGCTCAGACAGCTTAACAATGTCTTGACAGTATTTGATAAGCCAGTTGAAAGTTGGCATTCCACGCCTGTTGGATATAAATTCCTTTAAGCAGTCAGTTAAACTGAGTCCAGCTCTGACGATGCTGCGGTCTTTGTAGTGAAACGCGTTGGCATTAAACTGTTTACCATTTGCTGCATTTGCTGTCTCAAACCATAAATCATTCAAACAACTATGTATATAACTATTGGCCCCAAATCAAAAACCTGAAGAATTATTTATTTAAGAAATCTTCTCTGTACATTTTTAATTTGTGCTGAAAGAGAAAATCGTTGTGGGATCCGAACGCTTAAAGTATTAAATATATTTTTCCAGGTTTCAACAGACTTTTACATAGTTTATAAGTAATCACTGCTAAGTTATTCTAACGAATAACCAAACAATCCTCCGCTCCAACAAGCAGTCAATCGTTTTGCTTCCACAGTGGTCGTTCACTGTCAATTTTCAGCGGTCATTCAATTAACATTGCGCAACAGTGAGCTCTAGCGTATGCCGTTAGATGGATATACGATACGCCTGGTCGGATTCAACTGAAAACGTTAATTTTCAGCAAATCTTAAGCAAGTAGTGACTCTGCTGCGCGACAAACAACAAACGACAGCTGTTGTCTCATTAGATCGAGTGAATAATTACTTATGCTAATTAACATAAGGGATTCATATATTGTCACGTTATGTTTCACCGGGATCATCTGGATCGACCGGCATTCAGCGACGAACTTCGCCGGCCGCAACTCCTCCTGTTGTCAGAACGCATGAAGTTTCGCCAACAGCGACGGAGTAACGGTGGACATTCTGTTTATATTTATAATAGTATCTGTGGAGTCACTAGAAAGCGAGGCTGTGGAGGCTCATCAGTACTAACTGTTGTAATAAGGTATGTACCGCATTGCATGTGAATACCACAATAAAGGAAAGAACGATAAACGAAGGTGTAGCTGAGTTCCTTTAGAGGAACATTTAGGAAATCCTGAAGACATCTTTATGAACCCCTAATAATTAACAAAATATGCTGGATGAAATGGTACAAAGAAATGAATATTAAGGTTATTGGGGAATATCTCACAGCCAGACGTGCGAGCCACTCTCGGGACTGGTTACCGCAAAGGAACGTATTCACTCAAGAAGGGCATGTGTTCCGTAACAACGATTTCTGAACAACGACTGATCGATAAAGTCAGGGTGATCTATAACCGTAAGTTAGAATTAGAAAGCGAGATTTTGAACACGAAGAACTGAGTTTCACAGGAAATAAAACAAGAAGCCGTTCGTAGTGGTCATGACATCGACAATGCCATGGAAGAAGCCAGCCTTCCCCAGACAAGTAAACTTGAAAGCTTGGAACAGCAACAAGGACTGATGATGTTCTAGACATGGAGTGCACTAACCATAAAGTTGAAGTGACGAACGATATAGAACTAATGAACATATGAACTAATGAAAACTTTAAAAGTACCTTTAATTCCCTCAAAATAAGAATGCAAGGTATGTTTATCTACCGACTTCCAGTCTACGCAGATTTGCACGCAGATATCTATGCAGATTTCCAAAATCGCGCATCATTGCAGATCGCGAATAATCGTGAATTCGGCGGATAAAGTGCTGATTAAAAGCTTACAGAAAGTCGAAGTCTCGAAGAAACATGCCACGCAGGCCACGCAACTTCTCTTGCAGTTTCTATTACGTTGGGCTTGTACTCAGGACAGCAAAGAAGAGTCAACCAGATTGTGAAAGTCGAAATAAAATGCAGCTAATTCCACCGGAGACAAAGAAAGGCGGTTAACAGAGAAGAAAATCAAAACTGCGTACGGAGATCAGGATTTTTACTATCTACTTGCAAGACCACCGAAGAGCACGTAAAAAGGTAGTCTCAAAGTTGAAAGCATACCGTTAGAACTTGGGATCACGAATTACCCACAACGACCTCCTGCTTCGCCTTAAAGAACATATAGCATTTCCTAAGGAGATAATCATCGCCTCTGGAGGCGGAATCAAGCGTTAAATCGAGGCCATCAAAAGAAAGATTAAAACGATATGTTCAGAAGCAACTGCAAGAAATTCGTGGCCACATTTGAACTGCGCGAATAGTTGAATCAAGAATCCAAAACACAACACCCAGAATCAACACACAGAGAAACGTCCATATGAACATGAAGTAGATACAAATTGGATTCTGGAAGAAGAGAATTCCACCTGAAACATCAAAATAATGCGATCTGGCTGGATGACACATGGGGATATTTTGGATAATACCAAAAGACATTCAACTGCAAATTATCCGGACTAAATGGCATCCAAAATTACTGGTGGAAATATCACATGCACGCACAGTGTACTGGCATAGCTGGTTCAGGGAATATTACAGGATCCCACTCTCGTCTCCAGCTTCGAAGCTGAATGAGTAATGCACATGTTGCCTTCAACAGACGGTTACAATCAAGCTTAAGAACACGCAGCCAGTAACGTGTCTGCCAATCATCATCATTCCTAAGGTCTTCAAATTTGTCTTGGTAAGGAAAATCAGATCGCGTCTTCTTTTGAATACCATTTTAAAAGATGAACATGATGACTGCAAGCAAGGAAGTCAAGGTTGCAAGGAGCTACTTATTCGGATGTTATTAACCAAATTCTGCATGCACGACGTAAATTCTTACTTAGATAGGTCATTATAAGAAAGTGTTTGACTCGGTACTCACTCTTGACTGCAGAAAGTGGTGCAAATGTACATGGTAGGTGACAATATTGTTGCCATGATGGCCAATTTATGGAGAAGTGGCGAACGCAACTGCGTATTACACGAAGTTCATATCAACATGAAACCGAAATGATCCGGGTCAAAAGAAGCAGTTTTTAGGGTGACCACTTCAGTTTTCTTTGGCTAAGTTTAACATTAAACCAGCATAGTGGACCGTTACACAAATCAGGATACGGCTACGTTATCATGAAAAGGAGCAATACGAAACTTTTCTCTCACCACTTTTGCATGGATGATTTTAAACGGTACGCCTGAAATAAGAAAGAATTGGTGTGTAAGTTCCAGCTAGTATCTAGCTTTCGTATTGGTCAGTCGCAACAGAATTGGGTCTAGGTAAATTCGCATTTCTGTTTGCTAACCGCGAAAAGCCGTTGCAGTTAGAAAACCTGCATGTCGATGACAGCAGGAGCTCTAGGAAACAAGCCCGCATGTTTTAAATATCTGGTACTGCAGCAACTTCTCAGGATAGACTCTACGCAAGTGAAGGAAAATGGAATAAAGACATTAAACTGGCGTTTCATGTCTGTGGTAAAATTACGGCGTTCTTTTGCAAGTAAGATCAAAGCTAGGAATACCTGGGCTATACTGCTGCTAGTGTTTTACATTTGGAATCCGTAAATAATCTCAGGAATTTCTAATCATGTTGATTCAAAGGTCAGGACTACGATAACGAAGTTCCGCATGCGCCATCCAAGATCATTTGTATCCAAGCTATGTCTACAAAGTAGGACAATGGCATGTGTCTGTTAAGCGTTGTTGATCTCTGCAAAGAAGAAAAAAAGGTCTTTCGCGCACACCTTCTGATGAAAAACTCATCTTTACGACAGTAAATGGAGAAAAAGAATACACGCCGCTAACGTTGTGTGAAAGCAATCACCAAGAAGAAAAGAGAAGTTAATATTTAGACCTCGTAAATGGACGGAAAATTTTCTTCATGACTGTAT